CGAGTATTTGGGCGTGTACTCGTACTCGCCCAAATGCTCCGATACCTTTCCCGATACTAGAACTTTCAGTCAGAGGAAGATTTCCTCTGACTGGCAGTGCCACGAGGAAAGATGGAGCCGGAAAGCTGGCTCCATGATGTTTGGCTGGCTTGATGCTGATTGGCCGGGAAGCCGGCTTCCCAGCCAATCAGTGTCGAGCCGGGCAAACAAATCTGATAATATAGCAACACGAACCCCACCCTGCAGGTACCTAATTCTCCTCACATAGATCCTTAGCATTCAGTTCCTCGGCCAGATCTGCCGTCTCCTGTGTGCACACTGCACAACGCTCACGTGATCAGCGTTCAGCCTGCTACTGTGCATGCACAGGATTTATGAATGAGAGCACTGGGCAGTCTGCGCATTCACAGCAGCAGGCTGAGCGCCAATTACGTGGGCGCTGTACACAGGAGACGTGGGGAGATCTTGGAGACCGGTGTCTGCCCACTTGGAGAGCGCTGGCCGAGGGACTGGTACGTTAATGAATGCAATATGGATCTATGTGAGGGGAATTAGGTGCCGGGTCGTGTCACCATATTGTCAGATCTGTTTGGCCGGCCTTGATGCCGATTAGCTGGGAAGCCGGCTTCCCGACCAATCAGCATCCAGCCGGCCAAACAGAATGGAGTCGGCTTCCCAGGCAATCAAGAAGCCTTCCTGGCTTCCTGATTGCCCGGGAAGACGGTTCTATGCTACCGGAAGTGCCGATATCGGTACTCTGTATCGACTAGTACCGAAATATAAGTATCGGTACTCGTACTCGATACCGAAAAAACGGTATCGGTGCATCCCTAATACAGTATATAATGTATTGCTGGGATTTGTAGTCCTCTCTAGCTGCTGGTACAGCACAATGTACCAGCAGCTAGAGAGGACTACAAATCCCACTACCCCAGCAATACATTAATGCAGCACCATGTGGGGGGAATGCAGGCTTACCTGAGCAGATATGTACACCGTCAGAATAAAAAATAAATAAACCCACCATAGGAATGCATAGCTAGATTCCTATTGGCTATTTCACTTTGCAATAGCCAATAGCAAAAAAGCTATTGCACCCGCCCTCTGCTGCTGTCAATCATTAGAACTGGACCTGATGGAGAATTTCAGGTCCCCCTCTGCTGATTTTCAGCAAAGGGTGGGCGCAATAGCTAGTTTGCTATTGGCTATTGCAAAGTGAAATAGCCAATAGGAATCTAGCTGTGTGTTCCTATGGGTTTATTTATTTATTTATTTCTGACTGATGATGGTGCGGCCCGATGTCAGAAAAAAAAAGAAAAACAGCAGAGAAAGGTTTGCTCTGCTCTAACGAGCAGAGCAAAGCTTTCCGGGAGAAAGTTTTTTTTTTTCCTCTGATTTACGGCCACCTGCGGCCCGTTGTCAAAAAAAAAACAGCGGAGAAAGTTTTGCTGTGCTCGATCAAGCAGGCGACCCCGACGGGGTCGCGACCCACACGTTGAGAACCGCTGTTCTAGAGGGTCGCTACTTTTGTTCCCCATGGTCCCTATGTGTGCTGTATTGTAGAGACCGCTCCAAGCTCACTCCCATCATAGACTATCATTTCAATACAAATTAGCTAACTAAATGTGAGATTGTAGTCCATCACGGGAGCAAACTTGGGGTGGTGGCTACTTTACAAACAGCACAAGGGCCATGGGGAACAAAAGTAGAAGAAGGATAATGTCAGCACCAATTCAGAGAGAATTAGGTGCCGGGTCGTGTCACCATATTGTCAGATCTGTTTGGCCGGCCTTGATGCCGATTAGCTGGGAAGCCGGCTTCCCGACCAATCAGCATCCAGCCGGCCAAACAGAATGGAGTCGGCTTCCCAGGCAATCAAGAAGCCTTCCTGGCTTCCTGATTGCCCGGGAAGACGGTTCTATGCTACCGGAAGTGCCGATATCGGTACTCTGTATCGACTAGTACCGAAATATAAGTATCGGTACTCGTACTCGATACCGAAAAAACGGTATCGGTGCATCCCTAATACAGTATATAATGTATTGCTGGGATTTGTAGTCCTCTCTAGCTGCTGGTACAGCACAATGTACCAGCAGCTAGAGAGGACTACAAATCCCACTACCCCAGCAATACATTAATGCAGCACCATGTGGGGGGAATGCAGGCTTACCTGAGCAGATATGTACACCGTCAGAATAAAAAATAAATAAACCCACCATAGGAATGCATAGCTAGATTCCTATTGGCTATTTCACTTTGCAATAGCCAATAGCAAAAAAGCTATTGCACCCGCCCTCTGCTGCTGTCAATCATTAGAACTGGACCTGATGGAGAATTTCAGGTCCCCCTCTGCTGATTTTCAGCAAAGGGTGGGCGCAATAGCTAGTTTGCTATTGGCTATTGCAAAGTGAAATAGCCAATAGGAATCTAGCTGTGTGTTCCTATGGGTTTATTTATTTATTTATTTCTGACTGATGATGGTGCGGCCCGATGTCAGAAAAAAAAAGAAAAACAGCAGAGAAAGGTTTGCTCTGCTCTAACGAGCAGAGCAAAGCTTTCCGGGAGAAAGTTTTTTTTTTTCCTCTGATTTACGGCCACCTGCGGCCCGTTGTCAAAAAAAAAACAGCGGAGAAAGTTTTGCTGTGCTCGATCAAGCAGGCGACCCCGACGGGGTCGCGACCCACACGTTGAGAACCGCTGTTCTAGAGGGTCGCTACTTTTGTTCCCCATGGTCCCTATGTGTGCTGTATTGTAGAGACCGCTCCAAGCTCACTCCCATCATAGACTATCATTTCAATACAAATTAGCTAACTAAATGTGAGATTGTAGTCCATCACGGGAGCAAACTTGGGGTGGTGGCTACTTTACAAACAGCACAAGGGCCATGGGGAACAAAAGTAGAAGAAGGATAATGTCAGCACCAATTCAGAGATGATTTGAGGATCTACAGCCGAGTGATCAACAAATAAGCTACATTTTATCCTAATAGATAAGGTACTTAAATGTATTTTAAAGATTTTAATCTTCAGTTTGGTGTCACTTTAATATAAAACATTTAAATCTGGTGGGTGACAGGTTGCTATTATGTGTACAATACAATGCTTGATTTTTAAAAGGTTTAGTTTCCTTTTGAATTAGCTGGTCCCCTGAGCACAAGCCCTGGTATCCCATTTTAAGGTGGCTACTTTCCCTTGCAGTATCCCATTTGTGTGTGCTATTGAGCTGCGTGTGTCTCCACAGACACACAGGCACAGCAAGGCCAAGCTAGTAGATGTAGGGCTGCTGGAGACTGTGCTCCCCCTTGTGATCTTGTACTGGACAGGAAGTTCAGGGAAGCCGAGATGAGGGAGCTTTTAGTCAAATGTATAAAAGCATGGTGACTGTAAGGGCTTTCGCAAAAATATAAAAAAATACTTTGCTGGTAAATGTATATTTGTTTGATCTGGACTCATTATTGAAAAAAGTCTGAGAGTTTATTAATACTTATCCTCACTCGCCCTCTTGATAAAGAGAACCAGGATTTATCATTAGCAGCAGGTGTGATATTACAAGAATAATGACAATACCCAAGTGATACAAAGTTTGGCTGTTACATTATATTTTTGATTACAAATATGGAAATATGATAGTCGTTCATCCAACTTGAAAAACAGTGGTTAATATCCAATTTCAACCCATTATTTCTTCTTGAACATGTTATCTTTTTCTGCTAAAATACACATTCCTACATTATAATGGACGATGGAGCTCTGGCTGATTCTAGTGGCCAGCAGCAGAGTTGCACCTATTTTATGTTGCTAGTTACAAATGATTATGGGAAATACAATTGTGGCAGCCAGTCTTGATGGTTCAGTAGCTCTCTCTGTTGCACAATAGACATGATTGTAATTGAAAATCTTTAGGTTACATCTTCCAGATGACTGTTTACTTCTTTGCTATATTGGAGCTATAAACCTTAACCACACAAAGCAACAAAAAATATGTTCAAGAGAGAGGGAAAAACATTATTTTAGAGAAGTCTCACCTGTAGGCCCAGAAGTCAATCGCTGCCTTCTTGATGGTTCTCCTCTGATAAAGATTGTAGCCTAACTCAGACTGAGCATAAAATCATGTAGATTTCTAGATGGTAAAGAGAAAGGAAAATGTGTTGTTTTTTTTTTACCTCAGATATTGGAAAGTTGTCACACGGTTTAGCAGGAGCACTTATGTAACTAAATAGATAATGAACAATGTGGGGTAAATTCTCTGGGTGTCCCAGCAGTCCTTTAAGTTTAACACATATAGAAGACATTTAAACATTGTGTATGCTCAGTCTAGTTCTTTGTTAAAGGGAAATTCCACCTTTTGCAAAAAATTATAAATTCACACTTCTCCATAAAAAAAAAATGTGGGAAGAAGAACCCCACAATTCAAAAAAGTGGGCTGGGTAGCCCCCTGGCTGGTAGGGGGGTATAGTAAGAAACATGGTCAGAAAGGTAAACTAAGCTTTTAATTTACATGATTAACAGTTGTAAATGATTATTATCCTTACCATCTTGTCTTGAATTGTATTGTGATTGTAATGTCTTCCTTATATTGTAAAGCGCTGCACAAACTGTTGGCGCTATATAAATCCTGTATAATAATAATAATATCAGGGTGCAGTGTTGTGGCTAGAAATAATCAATACTGTTTAATTTTTGACACATTAATAAAGAATAATAATAGTATTAATAATAATAATAATAATAAATAATCAATGTGTCTGTTCAGATGCTTTGAGTACTGAGATGAGTAATACAATTATTTGTTCCTCCATTATTGGATGCTAAGCAATGAAGATGGTGATGATTGGGGGTAATTAAGTACTGCACTCTCAAGGTTCTTGGTTGAACCAACGTAGGGCATCATTTAAATGGCTGTATTCTTGAATTGGGGTCAAAATAGTGGTTGCTGTCTCCTAATCCACTAACTATCTTTAGATCACTAGTCTGATCTGTAATCTCAAATTCTAGGTAAAGCCTATAAAACCAATGTCTCTTGATGAAGCAGTCCGCGTGATTCAAGTGTCAGAGAGGGCCCGACAGGGGCGTTTGCGAGCCAAGTTTATGAAGGAGATCCATCTAGAAGAGAAGAGAGAGAGAATGGCCAAACATCAAGGAGAAAATACAATGGATCCTGAGATAGCAGCAACATGTATCCAGAAGGTGAGAACATACCACACTCACCATTTGTACCTTTACTTGTCATTTTATTGACGCAGTATATGTCAAATTCCATAACTATGTTCATTAATAGTGGTTGTGTAGAAACACTGTTTAAAATATATTTAAATTCAGTCTTGGATAGAGTATAGAATGATTAGAATGCCTGTCAGGTTATTTTTGTGGAAATTTCACTTTTATTTCCTGTCCTATAGACAACACCAGAAAGTGAGAGGAAATCTTTACAGGTGACAACTAAGAAATCCTTCCTTAGTTGTCACCTGAACACTCCATTGCAACACTTTCCCTCTAATCCTGTTTTGGTGATAACTCACTTATTTCCAGTCATGCTGACAATAGATAGAGAGGGTGAACCTATCCACCAGGAAAAAGTCAGCAATAAAATAACCTGACAGGAGTTGAGTTCCCTTTACATCCAAAACTATCTAGTTCATTCTCTACTGCGTCCAAAACAAAACAAAAAAAAATAGGGGGTTGGCTTTACACATACATTCGATCATTTGAAAGTAGCTGAATGTATAGTCTAATGCCTTGAAATTAGAATGCATGTGATGGAAGGGAAAAGAAGATAGCTCTGATCAGACCCTTGCTACTTCCAAAGGAACAAATTATCATTTGATGATAGTGGCAAATTGCCCTAGACAAGTAAGTTGGGCTGCATTTACATACATTTTTCACAGCTAATGCACAGTATAGCCAGATCACTAAAACCTATCTCCAGCAAAAAATTACCCTTGCAGTGGGGCTACGAACTGCAAGGGTTAACTGTTTTTGTCTGTGTGTACTGGGTGAAGGACTTTTGCCTACCTGATCCCGTCTCCCACATGGGGCCTAACTCCAAAGCTGGAGAAATCAAACTCTTAGTAATAAAGTGAAATCAACATTAGAGGAACAGTTTGTTGACTAACAAAGGTAACATTAAACAGCTTGTATTGCTTGTTCTTAGGAAGAAGTTACATTTCACCCTGTCACTAGCTTAAAATATTGCAGGCAAATGCACAAATCCAGCATTTTAATGCTTTTTTTGCAGCATTTTTACTTTCAATACATTATTTTTATACACTTGTAATGTGCCTCTGAACTGCTGGAAAAACTGAATACTCTAAGAAGATTCAATTCTCCAGCACAACCTGGGCCTGGGCCAGGGTCATGGGCTAATGGAGCATTTACATTAATTATGTTTAGCTAAAATTATAATTACAATCTGCCTAGCACATAGTATTAAGGGTGTCACTCACTCACTTGGGGGATGGGGGGGCCCGGGGCAGGGTAACAGGAGGGGGAGGAGTGTAAGAGGATGGAGGAGGTTAGAAGAAAAAAGAGATGCAGGGGGCTGAGGGGGCAGCAGTGGGGGTAGAGGGTAAGGGGATGGCTGGATACGCTGATGAGAATGCAGAGTGATAGGAAAAAGGGGGTTTCTGCTGGTAGGACAGAGGTGACAGGACATGGGGGGGAGGGAATGCAGAAGGTGAAGATGCTCTGCAGAGGGGGAGCGTGGGGATAAATGCACGGGGGGTGGAAGGGGAGGATAGAAAAAAATGGTGGCGACAGGAGGCGGTGCAAGGTGACAAAAACATAAAAACTTTAATGCCGCATAGCCAGGCTGCCCACACAATGGAAAGACATGACTGTGTGCGGCACCATTACTTAATTTTTTTTGCATAGCCCTAAAAGTCCTGGTGCAAACCCCCAGGGCTATGTGTATCCCAGGTTGAGACAACTGCTATAAAGTTTCTGCAGGAGCTGCTTACCTCACATCCAAGATACCACCCAGGCTTCTGTGCCCCCCTTGGTTGGGAACCACTGCTATAGAGTGTCTGCTAGGCTTGCTGACATCACATCCAAGATGTCAACACCCAGCAGCCTTCTGAGGGTTTTTGTATGTCTACACAAAAGAGGCTTTTGCAGGTAAAATAAAATAAATATACATATAATCTTAAGGGAGGATTTCTGTTGAAAGGAATGGTCTATTGACAAGTTCTCTTTAAAGATTTGGTCATATTTAGTCAAATCAGACATAAATGCAGTCTGATGCGCTTGGGTTAAGTGACTGATTTGCTGAATGTCTGCAGCTCTCAGTCATGGTAAACAATTCAACACATTCCCTTCACATTGCACCATCTGTATACCCTTAGGGATTACAATTGCTAGAGCACAGCAAGGGAATAATAAATTACAATATCAATTTGATAGTATTATTAGCAGGTTATAAGTATGTTGTGTGCAATCTACCAGAAAAAATATACACTTTTTTGAAAAAACTGTTTTCCTGAGCCAAAACATAATTACTTTTTTAATGTCACGTTCCAGTTTTCCATAGCAGTGACATAAATTATGGAGTGAATGTTCACAAGACCTTCATGTTCCATTTAAAACTGATATGAAAAACTTAGTAGCCTTGGTTCGAAGCCAGTGTCCCATTTCTCTACTGCCCGTTCCACTCCACACTCCCTTCCTGCTCTCTTCCTGTGCGTTTTCCTACTTCCTCAATTGCTCTGCCACTCAGGAAGCTGTTTCCATTCCGTCTGTATCCTTACTGATTTTCCGTTCTCACCACAGGTCTGGCAAGGCTACATTCAGAGGAAGAAAACCAAGCAGCAAAGAGAAGAGGAAATGATCTTCCTGGGCATGGTAGGTTGTCCAGAGGACAGGCTTTTCTAGAGCAACTGTGTAATGTTTAGAGCACAACATTAGATCCTTAAGTAACAGGTGTAAGTCCATTCATTTTTCTTTTTATATTTTGGCTGAGACAATTGGAACTGAATACGTACATCTAGGCATTCTTGTTTTGCTATTCATTCAATGCTGACTCACACAAGCAGGCAAAAAGTTTATATATCAAGCTTTGAAAATGCCAGGTGATGCAGTTATGCCACACTTTAAGGAAAAGATGAATGACTGAGCAGTGCAGGGAAGAATTAACAAGTAGGTGTTCAAAATGTCTGAAGTTTAGACAATTTTACTCCTGTGAATGTGCACTTCCTTGTGTCACACTCACAGAGCTTGCCTTCTGAATTACAGCTCAAGATCTGGACAGTGTAACATTATCATTACTTGCTGGAAGCGATGCATGATGGCCTATGTAGTTTCAAGAAATCGATATTGCATCACATCAAACAGCAGGAAAAGAGATGCAAAGCAAATTGGGAATCCAGGGAGTTGAAGTGATGGGGATTTTTTTTTAAATAAGCTTTGATTGCACAACTCTAGTATGTATTCCTATCACAATGCTGTTATTCCATGTTCCATGTTATAACAGGATATTATATGTTGTGACTTTAGTACTCTGAATGCTAGAATAGCTATTTGACAATCCTCAGAAAAATTCCTTTAACTAAGCAGGTGGTAAGCATTCAAAATGAAAAGATCTAAAGTTTGTCTTCCCATGACAATGTCGACAAAGGCTTCATATTGGTTGGAATCATTGCATCTACTGCAAGTAGCACAGCACATGGTGTTTGAAGAATGGGCAATCATTGGATCTTTAGAGTTGTACATTTTTTTCTTACAACTACTGCTGGAAGGCTTAACAAGAACGGTCACTACATTCTTCCTTTAACATTCAAAGAGAAAACACTTTCAGCTCTTTTACTACCACTGTGCAAAGGCACACTTTTCATACAGTGCCCAAATGTAAAGGTACAAGAATAAAGGCAAACTCCAGACAAAACTTGGAAGAGGACAATCCACCCAAAAGCAATCTGCGATTTTAGACTTATCCTGGTTTACTGAATTAGCCATTGGCTTTTTATATATCTTGGATAAAGCAAGCTATATAATTATCAGCTCAGTTCTGGGCTTGTTTGTGTGTTCTTTCCCACTTTGTTAGAAAATTGTAATTATGTAAAATAAATATGAACTACAATGGGGAGGGTTGATACCTATAAAAGCACAGCGAGGTGCAGACTCGGAACTCAAGTGCAGAGATCTTACCAACAGAGACCCAGAGAAACTGAAATTGTAAGGCAGTTAAACTTTCCATTTGACCCTTTAAAAGTATTCGGTAGTCTGTCTAAAGTACAGCTAAGGCCTCCTGTATGATAGCCTCAACAAGTACCAAATCCAGTTACAATGTGATTCACAAGCCTGAAAAAGTAAAATAAAACTTTTTTTTACCTTCCTCGACTGAGTTATATCCTCCTTTATTTGTGTCTCACATACTCCCCTTCCAGACACTACAGCTCACTTTGAGAGGGTTTTAGGAGCAGAACTGCTGTCAATCCAGAAAGCAGTGGCCAGGTGTAGGTGTGGCTAGGTGCCGATTGACAAGCTACAGGCTTATGAATCAGCAGTGACAATACTGATAGCCATGCCCCCTACAACATTCACCCCTCTGTAGTGCATGTAGGCAAAGCCTACATATGCTCATATGCTTGGCAAGCTCTGAATTAAGGAGCAGTGCAGCTTTGTTGCCACACCATCACAGAAAGCTGCATTAGGTGGATTTCACTGGGAGGCTCAACATGTATTTGTGGGACTTTGCAGGGGGACTAATAGGAAAACAGTAAGTGCAGCAGCCCATTTTTTAACGGGAGATCATAGTTCTACTTAAAATAAATATCTTCTCTGTGTAACCTTGGCTTTGAATCAACTTTAAGTTGCTTAAAGTTTAATTTTAACTCTCTTTAACTTGCTGAGTTAAAGAATGTCAGAAATCATGACCTGCAAAAAAGTTTGACAATAACCTGTCCTGCTATCTGTTCCTCCGATCTTTGCTAAAAGAGCCGTGGCCCCCAGAAGAATCTTCACAGTCAACACTACCAGGAGTACTAGAAAACAAGTGCCACGCTGTAATTCTATCCCCCACAATATCAAAATAAAAGGGAATAATATGTTACCCAACATACATAAATGACTATATATTATACTAACATGTAATATATATGCATATAAATTAGGGATGCACAGATATATCGGCCGCCGAAACATATCGGCCGAAAATGGCACTTTTGGCATAATGCCAAAAGAGCCATGTTTTGGCCGATACATCGGTGCATCCCTGGTTTCTTTCCTCCCCGCTGAGCGCCGATCTGTGTTCCAGCGGGGAGAAAACAAAGTGACAGCCACGAGCGCTGCAGGACAAGAGCGCTGTGAGCGGCCGGCGTCTCTCCTCCCACACCGCTCAGCCGCCTGTCACAATCCGGCAGAGCGGTGTGGGGGTGGAGACAGCGCTGTCACAGGAGGCTGGGCTTTCCTCTCTACACGGCTCAATCAGCCTCCTGTGACAGCGTGTCAGAGAGAAAAGCAAGATACACACACTCAGCGATCAGTGATTTCTGAGTGTATGTACATAATTGAGGACATGGTATGTTAACTATATCCTCAATTATGAATGAATGGGAGTGAGATATCACAGTATACACAAATATCAAATCCGCACACCATAAGTGATCCACCAAACACTAAAGATGGAAAAGTGTAAAACAAAATTGGGCAAGTCCTCTTTATCTTTAAATTTGTGCTTGTGATATATCCAATATCAGTGTATCCCACAGCCAGTGATCGAGTGGACTTCACTCCCAATTTGCTTTCACCACATGGAAAAAGGCGAAGGTAGACCTCCGTTGCTCAGTACTCAATCCTGTGCCTTTCTCCACTGATGGTTCACTTTTAAAAACTCTTCTCTAACTTTCCTCTAGGTGATGTTTATAAGGAAAGCAAAAGACAGACCATAGTGCTCTCCATTTTCCAAATATTCAAAATTTGTTTATTCATAAAATTTGTTTCTTAAAAAATATGTAAAACAAAAAAAATCACATAAAAGCTGCACCAGTTCTGCACTAGATGATGCACAGCTTACACAAATAATGGATAGGAGAGACTTCAGCTTTGTGTAGATCCTGCTGCGGTCAAGCTCCACGCGCGACCGCAACACTTAGCATTTCCCTATATACAGTACATCAGAATTACTTCATCAGGGACATTTGGGACGCTTCAAGGAGTATGTATGCCTGCACCCCCTGCTGGGTACTGTGGTTGCTTTCACTGAGCCCTATGTCACTACTGTTTCCTGTAGTAACATAGGGGCTGGCGGAAGGAACCACAGAGGACAGCAGAGGACCAAGCATCCAAACGTACCTGTGAGTTAACCAGATGTAAAGAGGCCGTTGCTTCGTGTCAAGCTCTGCCCACTTCCGCATCATTTAGCTATGCCCTACAAACGTTACATCAGAACTATTTTATCATGGGTAACAGGGGCATTTCCACGAGTGTTGGATCCCTGCACCCTTGCTGGGTGCTATGATTACTTCCACTGAGCCTTATGTCACCACTGTGTCCTGTAGTAACGTAGGGGCTGGCTGGAGGAACCCCAAAGCACAGCAGGGGAGCAAGCATCCAACAAGCATTCATTACATCCCGTGAGTTAACGGATGTAATTAGGCCATTGCATTTGCAAAAGAACAAAGATTAGAATTGCGCAGTGACCTTTTTTAATTCTGGGACCTAATCGCCTTAAGGAGAAGCTTCCAGACAAGAAATACATTTATGCCATTTAATTAACTTTGTAATCCATTTTAAACAACAACCTCAAAATGATAATAGCATATATTCCAATGTAATAATAGGTGCTGTAAACAGGGGTTAAACAAAGTGGTAGGAGGGGTTACGGTAGGCTGTGGCAGTAGCTGTAATGATCGGGTCTTGGCATATACACTATTTAGTAATAGTTTTTTTTCTGTGTCTCTGAGCTTCTCAATATCATTTTTCACTGCCTGATATGTGTGACATAAACCGAAAAGAAAAAATGATGAGCATATGCTGAAAACTAATGTCTTGCACTTAATGCAGCATCTCAGGATGTAATAGAAAGGCACTCACTGTGTGGCATTAATATAGCGTGATACATAGTCTTTACAGTGTAAAATGACAGAGTCTCAGCACTATGGTGGATAATGGCTTTGTACACACGCAGGGAGCTTCTTTGCAGTTGTGCTGCCATTCTGAATATATTCTATTTATATCGGCACAATCTCCCTGACAAATTAGCTGTTATGGACACTTTGCATAAATATTTATGCCTGTGTTTGCGTGGGGGCAGAACAGTTTGATTTACAGGGTAATGTTATGTTTAATGACCCACTTTCCCCTTACTGCAGCGCCAAAGCCACATATCAAAAATACAGCAAGTCTAAAGATAACACGCAGAGCCGACACTGCTGGGCCCTTTTAACTCTTCATTCACTATAGTATTCTGTGCCATTGTGCAACACGTTGTAGCCTAGAAAAAAATTATTACCATTGTGTATATCAGGGAAACAAAACTGTTCTGTCACCAGGTAAAAAAGTCATAGTAATAGGGAGTACTGTACTACAAATAACGGAATTGGTATAGTAGCGCAAATGAAAAACCCATATAATACCGCAAATGAAAGGACTGGTATAGTACCGCAAGTGAGAAACTCATATAATACTGCAAATGAAAGGACTGTTATAGTACCGCAAATGAAAGGACTGGTATAGTCCAGCAACACAAATTAAAGGACTCGTATAGTAACACAAATGAAAGGATTCCTATATACAGCAAATGAAAGGACGGTCATAGTACCGCAAATGAAAGCACTGGTATAGTACCGCAAATGAAAGCACTGGTATAGTACCGCAAATGAAAGCACTGGTATAGTACCATAAAT